TGAAGTGGCTCTTTGTATTTCACAAGAGCTCTCTTCTGGCACTCTTCGCATGTCATGCAGTACCTCTCGACGTCCTTATACTGTCCTTCCCACCAGTACAGCCGACGTATCTTTTCATAGGTTCCTCTAACTCCCCTGTGTCCTCCGACTACCCCGTCGTGAAGTTCCGCAACTATTGTCTGTCTTTCCTCAGGGTCACAGACTACTCGTAAGGGCATTTCCGACCCTACTGGCCTTCGGAAAAGGTGGCCCGCTCTAAGGCAGTACTGGCCTGCTTGCCTCCGGATATCTGAATCTTGACTCGCCTCTCCCGTCAGGTGTAGTCCGATCATTCGGTACTTACCCTCGTAAAGATTAACTAGAAATCTTTCGGCACGCCTCGGCTCTGCCATTGTCAGAGCCCCAGCTACTATGGGACGCTCGAGAGGGATCCGTGAAAGTCCATCTGCCACGGTATTTTTCGTACCAGATACTCTTTCGACCGTGTAATCGTATAGCCGAATCCGTATTAACCATCGGGCGATGGTCGGGTCCATCAGACTAAAGTTCTTCTGGAGGACAGAGGCAACCGCGGTGGGGTCTACTCTCAAGATGAGCCGTCGCCCATAGATATAGTGTCTGAACGTGTCTAGACACCGGAGAACAGCTAACACTTCCTTCTTGAATTGACTATAGTTACACTCAGCCGTATTAAGTGTCCTACTCTCAAATCTTAACGGTCTTTCCTTCCCTCTAGCGTCCTTCTGAGATAGCAAACCACCCACTGAACATGGTCCAGCATCCGTGGACACTATGAAGGGTCTCTCGGTCTCATCGTCAAAGAATGGCACACCCAACACGCGTCCTCCTTCCTTAAATTCGTCTTTAAGTTTTTGCATAGCAAGTTCCTGCGAAGAATTCCAATAGAAGTTCTCAGTCTTTCGTAGGAGTAACCTCAATGGCTCATCCTTTTTCGCATACCCCCATATGAATATACGCCAGTAACCGATCACTCCCAAAAACTGTCGGACCTCGGTTGGGCTATGTAATGGTGACGGCCAGTTTAGGAGTTTTTCTAACTTTGCCGGATCTGCTCGGCGTCCTCTCGAGTCACAGATAAAGCCCAAGATCTTAATAGTCGAGACGGACCATCAGCTCTTTGTTCCGCTGACTGTTAAATTCGCATCGTCCAGCTGCTCGAGTACGGCGCGAATATCTATTAGGTGCTGCTCGACGAATCTTCTAACCCCAAGTACAACCTCTGTTTCATCCCTGTCTACTGACCCTTTTATAGGAAAGTCATCCAGAAAAACTTCAACCTTATCAAGGATGAAGTTCTTGAGGACGACTACCATGGCTCTTTGAAAAACGGCTACCCCATTAGTCCAACCCATAGGGACGACCATCATCTGAATTAGTCCCAATGGCGTATGCATAGCCGTGAGGTGCCTGTCCCTAGGGTCAAGCGGTACCTCATCATAGCCTGAGAACAGATGACAGACCGAAACGATCGACCTACCTGCTGCGCCTTCTGCCAGTAAATCGGCGTGTGGCACGAAGCCCACGTCTCGTATCGTCACCGCGTTGACCTTCTGAAGGTCCTGGATCCATTGGATCTTGCCATTCGGCTTTCGTAGGAAGAACCATCGATTTGCATAAGCGCTATCAGACGGCTCCGCAACGTGGGAAACCATCTTTTCCTTCAGGAAGGCGATAACTTCTTCCTTCTCCTTCTGGGCGTATTTCCATCCCGCGTCGTTCCGGGAAACATGTGGTATCGTGTAAATCCTTGCTGGCTTAGCGTATCTAGGGTCAATCCTACCGCGTTCCGCGTCGCTAAAAACTATTGCCTTATCACATGTCTTCAAAATTTCTATCACACGTTCTCGCTTCTGTGGGGTCAAATTTCCATCCCCGATGTCCATCCCTGCTATCCTCTCTTCCGTTAGGCGTTGCGGCTCGTTTTTCTTTCTTTCTTTGATTTATTTTGCGATCTCTTCTTCCAATATCCCTTCTAGTGCAGATCGTTCGCGGCCCACCGCCGCTGGCTTAACTTTTTGAGCTACTCGTTTGTGTCGCTTGGGTAGCCCCCCATAGGGGGCCGTGCCCTTAAAAAAGACACRGATACCACACCGCCAAATTCCTCATCTTTCCCCTTTGGGTACGAGTTGCCATCCACTATTAGCCGACTCCCTAAGTCTTCCACCTCCACCATCCGACCTTCTTCCTCTGTGAGCAGTGACCCATATTTCTTCTCGCGAAATCGCACTGCGCAGCTGGAGATAGGCAACGACTTTATCTGATCACTGGGTCTTGCACCCACAGCGAGAGCTGCTCTGTTCCTCGGGTCCCGAGGCTCCACTGTCTCAATCATTACCCGCGTCCCGTCTGGCTTCTTAATGGACGATGTTTGACTCCTATCAGGTCGCTCTATCGTCACCGCATGCACGTGGCTGAGCCACGTTCGACCGAAGAGCAGGTCGGAGCTGCAGTTCTTGACTGCAAAGACAGGCAGGGTCACTCGCACCCCTTGGACCTCTATGACTGCCTTGTGACAAACCCCAGTGATCCGTTGCTTTCTCCCATCAGCCGTCTCTATCTCGAATAGGTATGACCTATCGAGGCCCAGTCCAACTTGTACCGCCAGGTCCTCGTCTATGATGACAGCCTCACTGCCGTTATCAATCACAGCATCGAGTACCGCTTCCTCGTTTATAATCGTCTCCACGGCCCCGCTACCAAGTATATAAAACTTGTCTGGAGGCACACCTTCCATTCCATCGAGAAGGGCTGTCGCCATGCGATCCGCTCTGGCAGTCACCCCCGTTACTGCTACTGTAGAAGCTTCCGCCTTAGGGGGCTGACCCTCCTCCGATAGAGGTATGCGAGTCTTCCGGGTAATCATCTGTAACTCATCACGAGCCGGCTTCGATGCCGCGAGGTACTCCAGAATAGAGCACTGCATGGGTTGCCGAAGGGCCCGCCTCAATGGCTCTACCGTGTCAATCTCGTCCAGCGAGCTCTTCATTAAGAACTTCTTCACTCCCCGCTTTCGCGGCGAAAGGATAACCTCCTCGCCATCGATCCGCTGCCCGTCCTTTTCCGTCATCACGTAATCCGTGTCAGTTTTCTTCGATGTAGACCCTCTTGCCGACTTGGTGGCTGCCACCCTTATGGGTGTGGTCGCCATGTCCCCCTCAAAGGTTATCTTGATGCTCTGGCTCCTGACCGGCTCCATTCCTTTACTCGTCTTTATTCTCCTTGCTTTCACATTCTCCTTCATCGAAGGGAACATCGATACATCTCCGAGATCATCTGCCCACTTGACGTACTTGCGGTTGTCAAGCACGACAAGTCCCTCTTCNGGGGGGGGGGAGAGGTGCTGTTGCATATGTCACTAGGGTTTGTAGGTTGTTCCTAGGGCTTGTCGCTTGGTCCCGGCCACGTGGTGAGGGCGGAAAAAAAAAAACACAGGCCACGAAACACCAACCACAGGGACCCCGCCCAAACTTATGCCTGTCGGGTCGGGTGGACCGTACCGGTCCACTCCAGGCCACATGTGGAAACCTTACCGTTTCCAAAAAAAAAAAAAAAAAAAGACACGGCCTCTGAGGTTCCGCGGGACATGGCCTCGGCATATAATTCAGGGTCGGCAAAAACAAGCTCGGATGTACTGGTGGTTTAAAGCAACAGCATGAGCAGCTGCTAGGGGTGCTGGTATGATCAGACACCAGTTCATACTGGGAGGATAGCCAACCATGAGTCATGTGTGTATTGCAGTGTTCTATTGTATTGATGGTAGAGAGTTGGGAATCCTCTGTTCCATCGTATATCCCTGGAGCCCGTTCCCACCCCGCGGTAAGGTGCAGTATCTCCTGACACCCCGGACATCCCGTACTAAGGAACTGCTATGCCAACCTCAAGCCTAAGTTATGTACTAGGAGGATAGCCAACCCTAAGTTGTGAATCATGCACTGCATCATGGACTGTGCTTATTGATTCTGGAGCATCGTTGATAGTGACGGTAGAGAGCTGGGGATCCTCTAGTCCATCGTATATCTCTGGAGCCCGTTCTGACCCCGCGGTAAGGTGCAGTATCTCCTAGACTCCTACGACCCCGACATCCCATACTAAGGAACTGTTATGCCAGCCTCAAGCCCTAAGCTACAAACTAGGAGGATAGCCAACCCTAAGTCGTGAATCATGGACTGTGTCATGGACTACGTGTATGGACCCTGGAGAATCTTGATCGAGAGAGTTGGGGATCCTTTGTTCCCTCGTATATCCCTGGAGCCCGTTCCGACATCCCGTACTCAGGAACTGCTATGCCAGCCCCAACCCTTAAGCTACGTACTAGGAGGATAACCAACCCTAAGTCGTGGATCATAGACTGTATCAATTGACCCCGGAGAACCCTGTGTTGTATGAAAGCTGTGAGAGCTAGACAATCCTCCGTTCCCTCGTATATCCCTGCAGCCCGTTCCGGCCCCGCGGTAAAGTGCAGTATACACCCCCGACATCCCGTACTAAGAAACTGCTACGCCAGCCTCAATCCTTAACTATGTACTAGGAGGATGACCAGCCCTAAGTTATAGTCTGGTATTGAACATAAGACCTCATGTGAATCGTGCAAGTGACCTAACCTGTTGACATATACTGTGAAGTAGTCTGAAGTTGTGCTCTGCTGGGCTCGAGTAAACCAGACTGTGCTCTACAGAAACTTAACAATTGGAAAAACACGCATACATCTTTGTTCGGTCGCGCTTTGGTGCTCAACAATGTAATCTTCGCCTCCTTATGGTAGAAATCACTGCTATGGCCTTTGACTAAAGCAGCCCTGAGGAGTCTGAAAAAAAAAGTGACGGCCTTCCTGTGGAGGGGGGATGGTGAGCTAAATAACGTAATAAGCCGAGTAGCATGGGATTCAATAATCCAACCAAAAACAAGAGGAGGCCTGGGAATAATCGACCCAGCCACTCAAGTTCAGGCTTTACGATTGAAATGGATTAAAAAGCTCATTTTTTCCCCCCAGAGCCCATGGTGCGCGCTCGCCCTAGAACACCTGGCCCGATTAGCCCCGAAAGCCTCCCAAACAACCCACCCCCTGATATGGTTGGAAGACCGCTTTTGGTCGATCCCACGCAAGCTTCCCCATGGGAGGGAGGGGCAGGACGGTGGCCAGACATTAGACACCTTCTGGCCGTCCCTACGAGGAACGTGGCGCAAATTGCCTCTCCCGGACAAAATTCACCCCGACCGGTGGGAAGAAGTCTATCGCCAGCCCCTGTTGGGAAACCGGTGGGTAACAAATTCGGCAGGCAGGGTCTTGACGAGCTCGTCTACACCTTGGTACAGCTTGGTCAAAAGGGGGATACTCCGGGTGGGAGACCTATGGGATAAAGATAAGAAGGACTGGAAAACTTGAGATCAATTGAAGAGGAGTCTGCGGTACTGCCACCATATAGAAGAACACCTGGACTACCTTATTGATATTATTCCACTGGCATGGTACCGAATTCTGAAACATGGACCTACCCTAAAAGAAGGGGATTGGGTGGCAGGACCAGAGACCCCACCACGGGTGGGTCAGATCCACATGGTTGTCCCCCATACTGTTTTGGTCGAGCACTTTACCATCACCAAATCGAGTATCCTCCAAGGAAGTGGATCCCCCTTTGAATGGAAGGATAAGCCATCAGTACACCGGGTAAGGGTGATAGAAGAAAAGGGACAAAAATGTGTTTTCCAACCTTCCACACCAATTCAGGATCTGGCCCTAGATCCGATTGAGTGGATATGGAAGCTCCCTCAAAAACAAGGCCCTCCAGGTCACATCAGCCTACACCAGATGACAGTAAAATCAGCTTACAAAATGCTGAGACCTAAAAAGTTTTTGAAGCACACAGTCAATGATCGCTGGGCCAAACACCTGACTGTGGACCGGTCGCTTTTGACCCCTATCCGCTGGTTAAAGGAACAAAAAAACAAACCAATGAAGATAACCTCCTTGCAGTGACAAATTGCCCACCGTTGCCTACCAACCAATGACTGGTTAGTGGATCGTATTAATTTAAAACAACGAGGCCTGCTGCTCTCATGGTGTCAAAGGTGCTTGAGTCTTTTCCCCTGCCACAAAAAAGCGGAAACGATTGAACATATCTTCATGCAATGCCCCATTGCCCAATTCACATGGCGATGGTGGGATCGTGTATGGAGGAAGACGGAAGAAGAGACTCCCTGGCCATGGTCCTGGCAGGCCATCCTGGTGGGCCACTGGCCACAACTAGCGACGGCCACGCCCTTCGTAGAGAATATGTACAGACTAGGAAAGAGAGCGGTATTATCTCTTAACATCCGTGGACTCTCCCGCCCCGCTCTCCTGGACATTTGTCTTATATAAAGATGACCTGGATAATGCTTACTGCTCTTTTTAGACTATTGCCTCTCTTATAGAAAAACACTGCTTCACCATACCTTCATATACGGCGTGGCGTTTGACAACTGTTGAATGAAAAATCCATAATTCTCTCCTTTTGAATATGGTTATACCAAGACTCTAATAAGTTTAAAAGCAGATGACGCTATGAGTAGCTTTGCACATCAATTTCTCTGGGCTTCCTCTTCTGACCCACTATTTATATAAATCTTTTTTGTACGACTCCGATGCACATACGACTTTTGCAACTCGGCCGTTACAGGTTATAAAACTAACCATTCAACTCCTGGACGCCTTGGGGTCAGGTGACTTGGGATATGGCTCTGATGAGACGCCATATCCCCCTCTCTCATTCCGACCGCGCGGATCGTTGCGCCGGTCTCCTCCAAACCCTCCTTGGTCATATCGTCCTCGCGAATCATCCCGGCGGTCCCCTGAGTTATATCGTTCTCGTGACTCATCTCGTCGGTCCCCTCGGTTGTACCATCCTCGCGTCTCGTCGCGCTGCTCTCTCGCATCTCCCCTGCGCTCAAACCGTCCGCGTGACCCATCTTGTCGTTCCCAGTCCCGATCTCCTCTCTCATATCTACTTCCTCTGTAGCCATCTCGACCCGACCTCTCGTATCTGTCAAGAGACAGCTTTACCCTAATCTGCCCCCGCTGGTGTGACTACCCCCACCCCAACCCCAGAATAAGGTAACCCACTAATTCTGCTCACACCCCCTCCAGGGCTG